TGGAGACTGTGTCAGACAGAAGGATGCACTTGTCCAGTTCTGGGTCAGCCTCATGGGTGCTGCTGTGCTTGGGGCCATATTTGGCAGCCACTGTTTCTGTCCATCTTGTTGAGGATCTTCTCATTCACTGACTCCATCAAAAATAATACCCTTGTCTTGGAACTGATCCCTCCTGATAACATGTCCAAAGTATGTGTCATCCTCATCTCGAAGAAATATTCTTGCTGCACTCTAAGACGTATTTGTTTACTCTTTTGGCAGTCTGATATTTTCATTATTCTTCGCTAACACAGTCCACGTACATCCAGTCTTCTTCATTCTTCCTTATTCATCATTCAGCTTTCCTATGCCTATGTTGTTTTGAGATGTCATCGAGTAGTGACCCTATGAACAACAGATCTGAACCCTGTTCTATCCTGTGCCAGCTTCACAATCTCTTGACATACACAAACCCATTGCTGCAGTCATTGTGTCAGTCTATCTAGTTGAGGGCCTTCCTCTGCTTTGCCATTCCTCCACCTTTCCAAGCATGATGTCCCTCGCCAAGGAATAGTCTCTCTTAGTAACATACCCAAACAAATGTGAAACATGTGAAACAAAGCTTTATTATTTTTTGCCTCTAAGGGGCACTCTGGCTGTACCTTTTCCAAGATAGAGCTGTTTGTTCTCAAAAAACAAAAAACCAAAAAAACCCAACATAGCTTTTGCTGTCCCTGCGTTATTCAGCACTCTTCTCTAACACTACAGTTCAAAGACATCAGTTCTTCTTCTGTCATCCTTATTCACTTCCAGCTGTCAGATGCATAGTAAGTAACTGAAAATACAATGGCCTGAAGCAGACACACCTTAGTCCTCAAACTGACATCTTTACTTCCCAGTAATATGTAGAGGTCCCATGCATATGAGGCAATTAAGGATACCATTGCTTAGACTAGGCACATCTTAGTCATCAAAGTCTTCAAAGACATTGATCTTCAGCACATTATGGAGATTTGTTAGATACTGGTGCCTAGTTTATTTTTCTGTGGTGCATGCATAAATATATTCATAAATATAAACTTTACTGAAATCAAATATGTGTATGCTTAGGGTATTCGTGTATATCTTGACTCATGAAAACTCCCTTTGTAGTTCGAGATCAACTATAAAAGTATTATCATTTTTCAGTGCCTTCTAGCTAAAATGAGGACTTATTCTTTCTTCTGCAGAGTCCCACATGAATTCTAGGCAGCGATTCAAGCATTCTTTTCATGTGCACATATGTATTGATGCTTGGGGATTATTCCTTCATAATGGGATGTTTACTTTTCTTTAGCTGGCAAGCTTATGATGCAAACTTTGTGATGAGAATTCCTTGGTACTCTCTTGAGAACTGAGTAAAACATTTAAAGCTTAAGGATTTAATGTTTAATTCTTCTTTTGTGATTAAAAAAATAATAGGACTCTGAAGTGGATCCTGAGAAGTTCTCCAGTAGGATAGAATGTGAAAGTCCAAACAACGACCTCAATAGATTCCGAGGCTTTCTGTGAGTAACCCATGACTTACCTTTGTGGTTGTGAGGGAAGCTGTGTTGCTGCAACTGTATTTAATTGAGAATATTTTTGTCTAATTATATTCAAGTCATCATAAGCTGTATGTGTAAAATATCTGACTATTGGTTTGCTTTAATGAATTGATAAACTGATATGTGCCTCTTTCTTTGTATGAGTGTATATTTATATGAATACAAACGTATGTGTGCAGTCACATGTATGTATTCGTGTGCGTGTGTTTGTGTGTGTGTGTGTGTGTGTGTGTGTGTGTGTATAGAGAGAGAGAGAGACAGAGACAGACAGACAGAGACAGTGCACAAAGACCACTTTCAGAATCTGATGACAATGTATTCTTTTGCTAGACACACACACACACACACACACGTTGTTATCTGAATAGAACAAGGGAACATTTGCATGGCTTAAAATTATAAAAGGTTGAGCATTAGGGTTGTATCCTTTCTCCATACCTATTCAACTTATACTGTGTGAATCATTCAAGAAGCTGGACTTTATGAGGAAGAATGTGGCAGCAGGATTTGAGGAAGACTCATCAACACACCTACATTATTCAGATAGCACAGTTTTGCGTGTTGAAAGCAAGGAGGACTTGAAATACTTGCTGTAGAAGATCAAGGACTATATGGATTACACCTCAACAGCAAGAAAACAAAAATCCCTATCAATAAACCAATAGATAACATTGCAAATAGATAAAGATTGAAATTGTCAATGATTTCATCTTACTTTGTTCCACAGTCAACACCCATGGTATTAGCAGTCAAGAGACTAGGGTATGTAAAATTTTAGGGAAATTTTTTGTTAGGGGTATCTCCAAAGTTCTGAGTAGCAGTGATGCCAGTTTAAAGACAAAGGTGTGCCTTAGACAAGCCACCATCTTTCAATCAACTGCTGTGCATCTGAGAGCTGGACAATGCCTAAGGATGACAGAAGAATCAATGCCTCTAAAGTGTGGTTTTGGAAAAGAGTACTGAGTATTCTATGGAAAACCAAATGAACTAATAGATGTATGTCTTGGAGAAAGTGCATCCAAAGTGCTCTTTAGATCAGTGGTGGCAAAG